TTATGAACTGTAGATGAGGAGATATTCCTTTTATTCATTGGGTAGGTGCAGTTTTTTGCAAGACTGGTGAACCTCTGCCCATCTTTATTTCTGGAATCTCTGCCTCTCTAAGATGTTCCTTTTTTATACTCAGGCACATTACGGACCAACTGGCTTTGTAAATGCCATCATGGAACTACAGGTGCAGCAGAAACAGATGAACTCCAGGTAACGTCTTCCATAGATCAGTTTCTATTTATTAGTGTCTTAAAGATTTTGTTATCTTCAGGTTTGGTTTGTTTTTTTTTCTGTGGGAAGAGCAGTAATGCAGCTTAAGCCTGTCTGAAACATCCTTAAGCCTTATTGCTTCAGTTGGAGTTAAGAAGGCAGCACGCGGTATGATGAGTTACCTTGTTGCCCCACAGCGTGAAGGTCTTGAGTTCAATTCCACCACTTGGCCAAGGACTTTCTGTGCACGGTTTGCATACTCTCCTCATGTTTGCATGGGTTCTCTCTGAGCACTCTGGCTTGTCCCACAGTCCCAAGACATGGAATTAGTGGGGTTAAGTTAACTGGTTATTCTAAATTGCCCACAGAGTGGGATCTTAGCTCAGGGGCAGCTCCAGGCCTCGAGTGCCAGTGTCCTGCAGGTTTTAGATATCACCCTGGGTCAGCACACCTGAATCAAATGATTAGTTCATTCCCAGGCCTCTGGAGAACCTCATGACATGTTGAGGAGGGAATTTAGCCATCTGAATCAGCTGCAAGGATCAAGGGCACATCTAAAACCTGCAGGACACCAGCACTCGAGGCCTGGAGTTGCCTACCCCTGGTTTAGCTAAACCTGATTTGTCTTTTATTTTTGTAATTTTTATTTATTAATATGTTTTTCTTTCTGTCCTGATGAAGGCTTTGATGTTGCTTTGCCCAAGAAGACATGCTATTGTCATTACTTTAAAGCCCTGGGTTTGTCACAGTAACATTAAATGTTTGTAACGGGCAATAATTTGACTGCAAAACAAGTGAGTGATTACGAACTGGCATGGCATAAAATAAGAACATGATACACGTCCAAGTCCACAGGCATAAATTATCAATTCAAAACACAACACAAAGGCTTCATTTCTTAAATAATTTAATGCAAAAGGGTCTTTTAAAAATATTTCTACAAGAATGCATCATCACCTTTTAGTAATTTCTTGTTTATGTCTGCATCATTAAATACATCTCAATCCTTTTCAAAGAGGAATCAACAATTGAGTCTATCAGTTCTTCATTCACCCCCACCTACCCCCATTTCACTAAACATGTACAGTACTCTCTGAAACATGTCGCTTACTTTTACGAGGGTGTTTAAAAGTGGCGAGAAGACATATGCGTAGTGAGAAGAGAAGACAGAAGAAAAGACAGTACTGTATATATTTATTTAAAACACAACTGAAGAAAAAAAAGCTAAAGATATATAAGTGAGGGGCGGGGGTAGGGGCGGGGTTGGGAGAGGGCGGGTGAATGTGCTGTGGTGGATGATGTAAAATGTAAAGAAAGGCAGGAATGTCTGGGTAGTTTAAATCCATGTGGCACACAAGGAGATAGCGGACAAAGCCCGATCTCTGATGATGAAAACGGCAATACTTTTCTAACATATGGTCTCACACACAAACACACACACACATGCTCACACAGACTAAAAGTACCAGTTTATCTCAATTTCAGCATCATAAAGTCTGATAAATGAACAAAGAACACAGGAGAGAAAGCTATTTCCTCTCAGCGATGTTAAATACGAAACACTCTCCCAAATGTGTGAAAAATACACTTAAAGATTAATTGTTTGCGTTGATGTGGTGACGGTTTAATCTTTTAAATATGTGCAACGCTGCCATTTGAGCTCATCACTCATGGCCGGTTAACTTTGGTGAACCCAGCTCCAGGGTCCGGAACACCATGTGCACCTCATCAAGAGTTCATGCGAGCTCCAAAACTGTCATTTTTCATGATTAGGCATGTCTGCCTTCTGATTTCGTTGAGCCCCTTTATTCCCTGTTTTCCAGCTTTTTTTGCCCGTCAGCTGTGTCTCGTTTGGCACCACATTCAAGTTGACAACAGTGGGGTTAAGCTGAGTGACTGAGCCCATGAAGGAAGTGTATGGTAAGAAACTTTGACAAATGAAAAAAGTGAGACTACGAGTCTGTTATTTCTGCTTCTGTCATATCTCAATGTCTATCGCTCTTTTCCAACAAAACAGTGTTTTGCATCATAAGAGGAAACAATATACTTGTGGAAAAAAATTAAAGCCTGCCAACAGATTCTACTCATGTTAGCAAATGTTGTCGCCGGGACTGACACGCACGGTTGTGAGCCATCATGTCAAATATGCCTTGGCGACCTCAATGAAGTCTGACTTAACTGCAGAATTCCTATTTGAGTTTCTCCTAAAACTGTTACATGTTAGTAAGCCCTTAATAGAGTGTACTAGCAGTAGTGACAACACATGTATGTGGAATGAGAACACGCAAAGGTGGGAACGCATTGTGTGCTTTGCATAACGTCCTCTTCATTTGAAAGAACTTATGAGGGGTTGGCACGCTCCACGGTCACTAACATCATGCTGTCCTTACATATCTACGGAATAATATTGTCATAATGTGCTGATCACCTCTGGAAGGTGACACCGGTGATGTACCTTGCGGATCCCTATTCAGCTAACTTGAAATACCTCTCTGTGAGGAGTGCAGATGGTGCAGTCTCAGAATTGTGGCTTTCAGCTACGATGAAAGGAGCTGCAGATTTTGACTGCGTGTCTGGGCTGTTGATCCTGCACTGTACTAATCGTGCACTAGCGGCATGAGCTGAAACAGGATGATTACAGGCCACAGAGGGAATGAAGAGCTCTAATGATGGGTCATCTTGCCCTGGATGTCTGTGTCAGCCGCATGCTTATATCCTTGTGAGACCCGATGGGCCACCTGCATTATTTTAACCAACAGTGACCAGCAGGGTTCTCCTCTGATGTCTCTCACGTGAGTATCGTTTTGTAGGAAAGTGCAGGTCACATGATGGAGTTCCACCTCTTGGGGTGGAAATGACTAGTCTGACACAACAATGCCTCTGGACCTGCTCCCTAATAATAACAGTCCTTGGTAAGATGTGTTAGTCTGCATTTAAGTGACTTTCAGGAGTGAAAATAATGTGCCTGGAAGACGATTAAGTACAGCTTCACAAACGCTCTTCATGTTGCGAATGAGAATGGATTCAGGGAAGCTTAATATCGAGTTTAAATGGCACACAAAAACTTTAACACACCTACAGTGAGTTGACCATTCAGAGGAAACCCAGACAAATGGTGTTCAACTCTTCTACCCTACTTCCTGACTTTCCCCACTTCTTCCTTTGTCCTTTTCTTCGCTCAAAATCAAACATTTCACAACAGCACGTCCGTTTTGTCAAAACACCATTTTTTTCTCTTGTTATTTATCTTATTTTTTGTTACAAAACATGTACAGGCTGTTTAGAACAACAACAAAAATACAATATCCAATTATTATGCAATTTCTCTTGTTTTAATAATCATCAATTCAATAGGTGAATCCTCTTGGGAGTTTCTCTTCCTTCTGATTGTTCCAAGTCCCCAAACGGCCTAAAGTCCTTCTGGGTGTTGGGGAGGGGTGTGTGGGTTGGTGGGTGAGGTACAAATAAATACATAGGGCAGGACGCCAAGAAATTAAAACAAGGATTCTGATTATTTCTAAAACCCACACAATAGAAAGTAGAAATTAAAGTGTCCATCATGGTTTGTCTTCAGTTTCTGCATGATGCATATCTATATATATATATATAATTTCATATATATATATGTTTACGTCCAAAGTCCATTTTTTTGGATTCAATAAAAAAAAGAATGTTTTTAACAGTTGTCCACAGAATATAGCATAAGTGTTTCAGATATATTTGCTCCTTATCACAGTTCAGTTCATGCGTAAATTCTCCATGGTGGCAAATAGCGGAAGCCGTATTGTACAGTATATTTGTGTGCAACTCGCCACACCCGCACATCCAGTCGCACTTGATCACACATACAAACCCACATGCACGCACGCTCACATACAAAAATGCACACAAAAGGCCAAAAGGGTCTTTCTATTTTGTTGCCACAGTCCTCGTCTCCCCCCCAGTCGTCACCGCGTATCCAGCGGGGGTACTTCAGTCTGACCAGTCGTTTTGAAACCACAAATCTCCCAAAATATGATCAAGAAAGAAAAACATTAAAATAAAAAAATCTGACAAACAGAAAATATGGTGCAGACAAAGGAAAGTAGAAAAGCAAAATACCAGGTGTAAAATGCAGTTGATGAGCAGGTGTTCCCACACTGGAAAACTATCCTGAGTCACTTCAGGTCAGAGTGAAGAGGTCGTCTCTGAGCTACCGAGGATCCAGCAACCAAAACAGGTGTCCAGAAATATGGCCGCCTCCCTTTGACCTTTATTGACCTCCGTCACTCCTTCGACCTTTAGACCGCAGCCCATCGTATTGCCCTCCTCCACCACCCCACCCTTTTCCAGCAAGTGCCCTTTTAGATAACACACCTTCAATATGAAGATGGAGAACAACACACGTGCACAATAAAACAACTTCTAGCAAGGAAAAAACAAAACAAGGAAACTGTCCTCTCGCTCTCTCGTGGTCTGAAACACTTTTTTTTTTTGCGTTGATTTTCGTTATATGTAAAAACGTTTTCACTTTTTTTTATACAAGGGTCTTCCTTCTTTCCTACATAGATCATCCAGCAGAGCTGGGAACAGGAATCAAGGGGAGGGGCTCTTGTGTGAGGATAAGAGTGTGACATTTAAGTGACAGGACTAAGGCCAACTCCACTACAATGCACATGCATGCAAACATCAACTCACTCCAGAGCTGGTGAGGCACGCGTAAGGATATACGGGGGTTTACTATTTCTCCTCTTTCAAAAACACACAAGCTCCGATTGGATGGGGGGAGAAAAAACAGAAAACTAACAAAAAATGCAGAAACAGGAAATGTAAGTGGTAATGAAATAAAGAAAGAAAAAATATTCAGAGGCACTGCAAGCCAGTTTCGTAGTGTCTAATTGGCAGAGATGGGTCAGGCAGCTAGGGTTTTCCAGTGGCAATCTCTGGCACAGTTTCTCCCCCTTTTTCCGTCTGGCTGTCCTTCGACTGCATCGGTTTGCGTGTCTTCTCACTCACACCTGGACAGGAAGTGTTTGGTTCATCTGTAGTCTCATGTCCTGAATGCTACCAAGAATTTTCTTCTGATGGCCAGCCAATGTAACCCCTATCCGCAGCAGGTCCCTGTGAGCGAAGAACAAAAAGGAAACAAAACAAAAAAAAGGAAAAATGAGAACAGGTGGCTCAGTCATGAAAACAAAAGAAAAGAAAAGAAAAGAAATAAAAGAAGGAAAACATCACATGAAGCTGAAGTGCAAATTTCACTGTTCACCACAAGTGAACACATACTCGACCAGGTGGGAACGCAACATAGGCCTCACCTTGGCGATGGACCATAAAATGGATTCTGAGAGTGAGGTAACAAAATGGGAGCACTCATCTGAGTGTTAGTCTTAATGCATGATACCTTTGTTACCCAGCAGGTGGGCATGAGGATGTGAGTCGAGCAGCAGTAATGACAGTTAATGATTAAAGTGCAAACTTCGCTACTGTCTGGCAGGTGGCAGACTTCACAGAGTCTATACCCGTCTGTCACTTGGCGCGAAAAAAAACACGGGAACACGGAAGCAAAAGGTTTTCTTCATCAACAACAGCCTTTCTCTGTATAACTACATGCTACTTTCACCAGGTAGGTCCATCTTTCAACCACCCAATCATGTGGCAGCAACTCAATGCATTTAGACGTGTGCATATGGTCGAGTCAACCTGCTGCAGTTCAAACAGAGCGTCTCCATTGCAAAGCTCGGTTGTCAAGTGACTTTAAACGTGGCAAAGTCAGACGGGCTGGAAACTGCTGATCTGCTGAGATTTTCCCCGTACAGCCATCTTTAGGGTTTACAGAGGATGGTTTAAAAAAGAGAATTTTTCCAGCCAGTGGCTGTTCTCTGAGTTAAAAATGCCTCCTGCGAGTGCATCGAGCTGATGGGAAGGCATCAGTTACTCAAATACCTACTCGTTACAACAAAAGTATGCAGAAGAGCATTTCCAAATGCACAACAAGTTGAACCTTGAAACAGAAGACCACACTGGGTGTCACCCCTAAGGACAGGAAACAGGGGCTACAGTACGCAGAGGTTAAGTAAAACTGGACCATAGCAGGTGCCTGGGTAATGAGTGTCAGTTTCTGCTGCGACATTTCAAAGGGTCAGAACTTAAAACAACATGAAAACATGGATCCATCTGGCCTTATGTCGATGATTCAGACTGGTTGTGGTGTAATGATGTGAAGGATATTTTCTTGTCAGGCTTTGGGCCTCGAGCATAATTTAAACACAGTCTGCCTGAGTATAGCTGACTGATCACAGTGGGATGGACTACTTCATGCATAAGGTAATCATGTCACAAACCTCAAGTCATCTCAAACTAGTTTCTTGAACATGATGTGTTTACTGCTCTCAAATATCCTCTCAAATCTGCATCAGCTGTGTGATGCTATCATTTCAATGTCAGTAATTTCATACTAGTATAAATATGTCTATACATACACTTGCTTGACTTCTCCAGATAATAGCTGAGGAGAGAGCAGACCATCAGCTGACCACGAGTGCTCTGCCTCTGTACGCATCCTGTCCCTTCTGATCTAATATAACCTACAGACAACATGCTTTCTCACTTTATGAGTTTCTCTGCTTCAAAAACAAAGGTATACAGTGAAGTCTATCACTTAACCAGATATGTACATAATCGCAGGTACACAATTTCGCAGCGCACATCTGTCCTCTCGTCACATTCGAGTCGCCACAACTTCACACAAACAAATTCTCCCCCACCCCCCATATTTTGCCAACCCCATCAGCACAGTGACGGAGGATGAAATGATAATAAATGGGCACCATTAGAGGAATTACTGGCCATTAAGGGCAACAGAGAGCCACAGTACACCACACCTGTCAGCCTAGCCAAATTGAAACAAATTACTCCCACCTCCACTGTCTATTATGCACCTAATGAGAATGATTTATTTATCATTATAATCCTAATTCATTTATTTAATCATCACTGGCCTGCAATTTCCATGGTTTCCATTGCATCATTTCCTGTTTGTAAACATGATCAAAGCTGAACCAAATTGCAGTAAAGGAAACAGCCGCAAGAGTTAGCTTAAAAATTGTAGGCTGCGGTGCTGTGCAATCGTGTAACGGTGATTTGTTTGCTTCTAAAACGGGCGACAAAGTATCAGTTTCTGAGCAAGCAACTTCTGATCAACCAAATATAATCACTTTGTCATCTCTGACATCTTCAATTATTAAACTAGTGTTCAGCATATATCAAAGTATGTGAGCATACCTACTGGAAAACAAATATAAATGTATTCTTTTTCTTATTCTGTGATATCTGAGTTGGTTCAGAGACCTGTTTTCCACATCTCATCATCATATTTAAGTGTTTTTAATTTGACTCTGAATCTCAGTCCCGCTCAGGCGTTGTAGACCTGAGTAGCTCCACTCACTCTGCTGTCATCTGGGCCACCAGGTCAAAGGAAGCAAATCCTGCGTTGACAAAGTTGTCACGGTAGCGGCTCATCTTGATGGCATCCAGCCAGTCCCCCACAGTGGTGAAAGTGGTATAGTCTGGCACACAGCGGTCAAGCAAGGGCTGAGAAACCCTACATTAGGGGACAGGGGGGAAGGGAGGGAGGAGAGAAAGAGAAACAGAGAGAGAGAGAGGGTTAAGGTCGTCACTCTGTGTGCCTCTACCGGCCAACCTCACCCCCAAACGCCCCCCGCTGAGCGCCACCTCTCCATTTCTCTCCTCCTCTGTTCTCCCCCCCCTCCTCCTCTCCTCTCCTCTGTACTGAGTTGTGTGCAGGGGCGAGTGGAGGGGCGGGGCGAGGACCCAGGGAATGTACAGGGTGGGTGAGGAGCAAGTTGTGACTGTGGAGAGACTGGCTGGAGGCTTGGGTGGTGGATGTTGGCGCAACAGCTGGTGAGGGGAGGTCACGTGTATTCACACACAGAGCTTCAAATCTAGCTTAAACCAGCAACAAGTGTTAAAGAAACCAAGTGGAGATCGTTTTAGTCAGGAATGCATCTGCAGCATCGGTGATGGTGATAATGTTAATAACAATGCAGAAAAGTGCCTTCTTTATGAAAACCTCAAGAAATGACAACCTGGAAATATCTGAAAAGCTCTGTCTTTGTGTTTTGCGTCTCGTTCTTTTTGTTGCAAAGAGATGTCGGTGTATTGTTTGGGGACTGATAAAAGGAGGAAAAAAACAAAAGATCAACAACAACTTGAAATTCAATCTGTGTGGTTGTACTGATTGCACTATTAAACCATCTACAAACGTGCTTTAAATCTGATCTGGAAAGATTGGACTCTTTGCGGTTTTGCAGGTCAGTTCAAATCAAATTTCGTCCGGCTGTGAGAACACGAGCTTAAACGACGGGCTGGGAGCCATATGCCTTTCAGTGCATAATTACCAATGCATAAAATGATACACTGTGTGCAACACGAGTCCGCAAAGGTGGAAATATTTTTTAAAAATTGCTTTCAGGAAAAGAGGGAAAAACACTGAAATGTAAACACAGATGTCACTCACATGTGCGCGCGGTTTCGCATTAGCGCCGACTTGCAATGTTGGGGACTCTGGAAGAAATGACTCACAAACTCATAGTTCATGTGTGTTTGACAGCGCATGAATGTGATTAGTTGCGCAACGCTTCCCTCAAACGTCTTGAAAACGTGTCGGAGGGCGCTCTGCGTGTTGCTGCGCACCTGTTGACAGCCCCAAAAGGGCTTCTTTAGGGGGAAAAAAGAACCTAACCTCCTGCGCTGATCAACGCTGCAGATAGAGAGGCCACCTTGGGAGTTTTAATAAAACGGCGCAACAACTCAGAGCGAAGCGCAGCAGATGAACGACAGAGAAGGTGGAGGTGGAGAGAATGTCCTGGGATGTGAAGGGAAAAAACAAGAAAGAGCACCACTGTCTCCACTCCTTTCTGCTCCGTTGATCCCTGTCATCCTTTTTGATGGCATTAGATTCATTAACAATTAAAAGGAATGGAGAGAGAACGAGAGGGGAAGGAGAAAGCACACGGAGGAGGAGGAGGGGAGTTAATAACAGTGATACAGAGGCTCCATTGAGTGGTGTAGATGGAGTGATTTTTAATAAGGCCTGTGCTTGGGCATCCAAGCCCTCGGGCTGTCGTTAACGCACGACTCTGGCTTCTCTTAATGGAGTATTGTTGGTCCTCCCATAAAATTGGCTTCAAAAGGGGTCCAGACTTATGCTGGCCACATGTTAGCCACAAGCACAACGCAGCAGGAAGGCTGGATAGTGCTGTGAGCTAGCTAGTGAGTCCACTACGAGCCGAACTTCATGTCATAAAAAAATGGCTGCTGCATTAGTCAGTGGGTTGGCCTTTTATGCAGTCATTGTTTTAAAAAGTTTGATGTTTCTTTCTTTGCTTGTTCTGACCGATTGAGCTGCAGCAAAGGATAGAAATCACCGAAGCTCACGCGGGCAAATATTCAGTCAGGTCAGGCATGTGCAACTCCCGCAGTCAAAGTCTTTAATGTCAGACAGCGTTAGCTAACCTCCAGCCACCCTTCAGTGCCGACCAGGACGACTGTAACATCTTTTACTCCTCCCTTGTTAGGTCTATCGGCAGGAGGCCACCTCTCTGCTGGCCCATTTAAAATCTCGTTAGTGGCTAATTAAAAGGCACTCTCATCTCTTTTTTGCATCGCCTTAATCGGGCTAATTAACCGCAAGCTTAATCTTCTAAGAGCGTCGCTCCTGTGGCCAACCGAGACCCTGGTTTCCCCCTTGAGCACAACCCAGGATTGTCTCTGTCCCTCCCTCAAGACAGAAAGACCCCGATGCAGAGACAGATAGGTAGGTCAGCCCCATCAGCTTTGCGCCAACTCGTTCCTCCAAATTCTTTCCAAGAAACCAATTGGACGGAAAGATAGTTCAGCTAAATGTAGATGTGACACGTCGAGCTCCCAGCTGGCGATAAAGCTGCTTTAAGGCTCGAATTGAGCAATGGTAATTTGGATTTGTATAACAGCTTACCCTGAGCTTGTGCAAACTAAAGAGTTGAATGAGATGATATCGGAACAATAAAAAAGAAGCCTGTTGCAGATGATTCAGGAACATTCATATCCACTATTTAAACTTAGCAATACTTGCAGAGTTCTCTTCCCTTGGTGCTAATGAAATTGCCTGACCAGCACTCTCTTTACTGACTGAGTTTCTTAAATCAATAAACTTAACTGACTGAAGGTTCTTGTTATTATATTACACCGCAAAAGCCAAGCAAGCCTAATCCGCCATATGACTCAGGAAAGGTAGTCATTACTAATATCCATTTATGCTATGACCATAATTATGCATTATTAATACACAGAGCATTACACTTAACAAGAGCCCTCAGGGGCATTTAGAAAAACACCCTCACATTTAAAGTCCCCTTCTATGATAACACGTTCCTCAGCATAAACAAGCATTTACTGCAAATCTCCACTTGACATGGCCTTCATACTAATTTTGACTTTAACGTGACCAATGTGCTTTTTATATTAAGGCTTACCCCGAGGACTGTGTGCTGTTGGTGACTACTTTGAGACTGGCAGCATTGCGAATAAGCTTATCCAACGTGGCCACGATCTGGGTGAATTTAGGTCGTAGGTTCCTTTCTTTCACCCAGCAGTCCAACATGAGCTGGTGCAGAGCCGTCGGGCAGTCCATGGGTGGGGGCAGTCGATAGTCCTGCTCCACGGCATTTATCACCTGGGGAAGGACAACAGAGAAATCCCAATCACTTCTAATCACAGAGTGTAGCGCAGAGGGAGGGTGGACAATGCGAGAGAGGCAGTCGATGGAAAACAGCACGGCAGAAGAGAGTGAATGGTGGGAATTATAAAAACCGGGGATAAAGAAGGAAAAAATGGCTTTGGTTATTCACAAGCAAAAGTTGGAGCTGTGGGTGGATGTGTGGTGAGAAAAAGAATGGCTCTTCCACATAAATTGAAGAAGAAGGTGGTTTCTTATATATAAGCATAAATTCTCTTGTGATCTTACATCTTGATTGCTCATGTCCCAGTACGGCCGCTCGCCATACGACATAACTTCCCACATGACGATGCCGTAGCTCCAGACGTCGCTGGCAGAGGTGAACTTCCTGTAGGCGATTGCCTCTGGAGCGGTCCAGCGAATGGGGATCTTCCCTCCCTGTGGATATGCGAATGAGTAGGTGAGCATGAAATACTGGAGAGATGGAGCGCAAACACAGAGTCACACACATACAAGAGGGAAAGAGAGGGTGAGAAAAAAACTATCCAAGGGAAACGTTGATGCACAACAGATGGGTGCATGCCATAGAACCCAAACACCGCATTCACACAAGGTTAGTCAGACGTTTACAGACAAATGACATGTGCAGAGAGGTGAAACTTTAAGGATATGAAATGTGCAGCACAGTGCATTTTTCAGTGTCATTGTTAATCCTTTTCATTCAACTATGTACCCGATAGACAGTTGCTGACTCATACTAGGAGTGTCTCTTGGAGTAAAGAGCACAAAAATGAACACAACTGCTTCCTGCCATAAGGAGAATTGACCTTCTGCATGCCTCCTGACATTGTTCTGTGCTTTTTCTCCTTCTTTGCTTTACTATACATGGATGTAAAAAATGGTCAGCGTCTTTCATATCGGGCCGAATCAGAGCTGAGAAGAAAAAAACAAAGCTGTCTTTATACCATCGTTCATATTCGTAAGTCTATTATCCTCAGTATACCCTTTCAGACATAAATCCCAAACTGCTTTGCCAGTTGAAGAATATTGGAGACTCCAGCAATTTGTCAGCAACCGATTTTGTAACGTTTCTGGGAATCTAAAACAAATCATGTGTAACACCTGCGTGCGATTGGAGGTACTCTTGTGATCTTTAAATTTCACGTATTCATTAATGTCATTAACTGGATCATTCCACACCCTTTAATATAGACTTCTATACCCTTAACTGTTCTTAATTTGTCCACGTGTCTGTGCCACAGTGACAAGAAAAACCTCTGATCTTGTGGGAACAGACCGGGCATTTATTGGACACGATGATTAAAAGAAAACAACAATAATGGGCTGATGTTGGAACAACATATGTAGCCTTTTTAAACACAGGAATACAGACAAACACAAAAAGCAGTCAAGTGTAATATATCCACTAACTCACCAGTGAGCTGGTGTAGGTTGGATCTGTGGGGTCATCCTCAAGGAAACGAGACAGGCCGAAGTCAGATACCTTACACACCAGATTACTGTTAACTAAGATGTTACGGGCAGCCAAGTCTCTGTGCACGTAGTTCATGTCTGACAGGTACTTCATGCCTGCTGCGATCCCACGGAGCATGCCTACCAGCTGGATCACTGTGAACTGCCCATCATTGAGCTAGCAAAGGAGGAGAGAGTGACACGTATGAACTGCATTGCAGATCAAGGATCCATTTTCAAAGGAGAAAACAGCCTGTGTGCCTCTTCTTTCATGGTTTAGCTCATGGTTATTTCATGGTTTAGCTCTCTATATTCAGTGTCTTCTACACTTTTTTTTATGTCCTCTTACCTATATCTTTAATCTCTCATCATCTCACGCCGTAATGTCCTTCTCTTTTCTACATGCCCATTCTATATTCTTCCATTCTCCATTATCTCTGTATCAGCCCCCCCTCTTTTCTCTGGCAGACAGTGTATGATGTGACTTTGAGGCAGAGATTCATTGGAGACTGAGCTCTGTAAATGTCACCAACTGCCAGAATACAGGATTTGTAAGATATCCATAGTGAGCTCTGCAGCTGCACTTAAGAAGACCTTTTAAGGTTGCAAAGACAGTGAGATAACTGCAAACAAAAATCCAGCGGCTTTGGATGGGCTTATTTACCCAGTAGTGTTGCATCACTCATAAAATCACATTTTATACAGAGTAACTAATTTTAAGGCTATTCTGGTGTGTGCTTGTTTTTTTAATTAGTTTTTTCTCACCCTCAGAAAAGAGTCCAGTGCTCCATTCTCCATAAACTCGGTCACAATCATCACCGGACGACTTTTGGTGACCACACCTTCCAGGCGGATAATGTTGGGGTGGTCGAACTGGCCCATGATGGAAGCTTCAGATAGGAAGTCTCGCCTCTGCCTGTCGGTGTAGCCCACCTTGAGAGTCTTGATGGCTACGATGATCTCCCGGCGCCCGGGCAGCTTTAGGCGACCGCGACACACCTCCCCAAACTCTCCTGCGAGAGCCCAGGTGAGACAGCCAGAAAAACAGCAAAAGAGGAGAGATGGAAAGACAGACAGAGAGAGAGAGAGGGAGGGAAGAGAGGCATGACGGAAGAGTGGAGGAGAGTGGGGGGAAAGAGGGAAGAGGGGACAGTTAACTGGTTAGAACCAAGGAGCCAGGGAAGGGTAGCTGGGGGCAGAGTGGGACAAGGGGGGTGTGGGACTGCAAGAGAAGCCAAGACTCTAGGCCAGTCTTAAGGGATTGTGATATAAGGGGAGGCATACAGTGACTTTATACTGTTAACTTACATACTAAAAGAAAAACAAATGGTGAGTGAAAGGCATAATGGCACAATGTGAAATGACACAGGACTGGGAAAAAAAAGCATAACATTTTTAGGGTAAAGTTGGGTGACATTATAGGCCAGACTTAGGGTGATTACGGGGAAAGGGGGGTCAAGGGTTTGTGGGGGTGGCGGGGGGTGCTAAGCTTCAGAGGGGCCGGAGAAGTGAGCACAGGAGGAAGAGATGGGTGGAGACAGAAGCTTGGGGGTTGTGGACGCTTTATGTTTACACTCTACACCAAGCGTGTGCAAGAAGCCAAGAAAAATCAGGTGATGAAAGTGATGCGTGTCAACACAGGTGCAAAGGTAACAAAGTGGGGGAGGTCAGGGAAGGCGGGGGCAAAGGGTTGAGGGGCATGGAGGGATGGATTGAGGAAGGGGGAGAGGAGAGGAAGGGGACAGGGAAGACAGGGGTTGAGGGTTTGTCACTTTAAAGGTGAATGCTGGGGAGCGAGGGTTTCAAGAAGTTGCCTCAGCAGTAGAAGAGCTGTCGTAGTAGTAGTAGTAGTAGTAGTAGTAGTAATGGTAGTAGCAGAAGCAAGCGATTCCCATCTCTGCCATCACAACGTCTTCCTTTTTTGGCTCAGAAACATATGCTAAAATATCTGAACCTCACATGGCACAGTCCTGTAGCTTTTAGGCAGAGATATAACTGTCAAATATATCAAAGACATAAGATATTTCACTGTCTACAACATCATGTGAGGGAGGGTTTCTAAAACAAGGGGGTTACAACCACATAGTGGATAGGGTGTGAGTACCAGGGAAAAAAAGGTCAAACATTACGATCCAGTAAAAATCCTCTTTTTAATTAAGAGGTTCTCCGGATATAAAAAAGTGGGCAGGGTTACAGGCAGCCAATCCTGGACTTGGAGCAATTTAATATATTTTACACCCCAACCAGACAGATTTAAACCTCTAGAAGAGTACAACAGATAAATATTAGCCATGGCTCTTAGAGACAGGAATTCCCCAAGCTTACACACACAAAACCAGACACAGAGCCAAAGAGCTGGACTTTAAGTCCTCTAAAGTACATATCCATTACAATCACGCCCTCGCAGGTTCACACAGTGCTCATTAAGGCAATCGCTGGCCAGTAAATCTCTCGATATTTCACAACATACACAAGTTTGTGAGCTACAGCAACTACAGTACATTTTCACATTACCTTCAGTCTTCCTTCTTTTAAAATTTCAATTTCCTTTGCATCAGTTTTGAAATGCAGAGTAGTGCAATGAGGTATGAAAGAAGTAGAAAACAAGCCCACTTTAAGAAGTAGATAAGGTATCCTACAGCATTCCTGCCAGTAGCCAGATATAATTACCACTAGAATTACAACATCCTGCATTATTTCAATGATGGCAGCTGCTGAAACTCAAAACCTTAACGCTCAGTGTTTATCTGTGCACACGAAAGTTCAATAAGTGTGCAAAAAAACAGGTTTGTAGCTTACCGGTATACTGGAAAATACATGCAATCAGATGGGATTAAACTCTCCCCTAGAGAAATAAATCCTGTCTGTATGGGGTTGTGCTTTTACAAAAATTTAATCAGTTATCAATAACTCTTGTGCCATATTTATTGCATTGCTCCCATTGCAGGATTGGGGTAATTTTTGCCTTTTAGGACATGGGTGAAAAAATAATCTACCATACAATGGGTATTAAAACTAGTTTAAACGCACACGGCGTGGTAAACGTGGGGGGTGCTAGAACTGTGAGTGACACTAACACAGTGCTGGACATCTGGAAGGCTAAAAAAACAAAAAACACAAAAACGTTCCTAAGAGGTGACGGTATGCGGTAGGGAGGCGAGCAAGAAGAGGGCTAGCGATGAATTGAGTGAAAGTACCGCTTGGTGTGAAGTCCTCTAATGGTATGGCCTGGAGGTGACTAGCAGTCTTCCCCCTGTAGCTCAGGAGCTTTGGTGGGTTACCTGCGCCAATGACCTCCTCGATCTTCACGCAGGACACATCGATCTCCTTGGCAAACTCGCGCACTGCCTCATTGGGGTCCTCGTAGGTGAAGGGGTCAATGTAGACCTTCATTCCCGGCGTTACTATTGGGGATTCAGTGGCAAGAACAGGAAAGTGAATCTCCGTTGCCAAGCAATAAATATTCAATGTGATATCTGTCTGATCACTTCTGACGACAGCGAGAAGCACAGACATGCTGCCGTTGGAACAGGCAAGCGAGCTTAGCGGAGAGACTTACTGTACTGCTGCAGTTTCTCTGTGTACTCTGACTCTGAACCGTTTCTCTGCTTTCTGTTGAGAAAGATGAAAACACAAACTGAGTCACGTGGTCCCCGCACAGTGGGACACAAACACTGCTGAGGAACAAAGGCACGGGGAGAAAACAGATCCCTAATAACGCCTAGTTGTAGCGTGAGATGCAGTCGCACTGTGATGTGGCATGGTAAATATGTGTAGTCTTTTTGTGCGCTGGAAGCAAGGGATACGCTGATAAAGATTGTATCAATGCCTAGTGGTAAAAATGATTCATACTCGGGGACTGTAGCGCAAGTGTAAACAAAAGGATATCATACTATTGTCTGAAGCGGCAAGTGAAAGCCATTCACTCTCGGTACCCCCCCCCCCAAAAAAAATGAGCAGCCGTGACAAAAGCGGACTCAAACAGCAAGCTCAGCTGTCTCGCTTTCCTCGCCCCGCAGACATCACACTGCACATTTCAATTCAATCTTGCTCTCTGGTTGTCAGTCTCCCTTTTCTGTTTTTATGAACTTATTTACTCTTGTCCTCTTATAGCCACTCAGTTCCTCCAGCTTCACCTCCATGCATCTGTCCCTTTCGCACCCAGCGGGGATGGGGTGTGGGCTCGGATACGGAGCTGGGTTGTTGAAATCACATGTTAATGTGCTTTCTTTGTTGTCTAACCAGTAACCGGGGCAAAAAATACCCGATGGTAATTTGCATTTTATTTTAAATTCTAATTTTCTTCTGGTATATGCCGAAGCTGTGTATTTTGTATCATTTCTATTTTTCTCCCTTCTTCTGTAGCAGTCAGAGCAGTGGCTAAGCCAAGACCCTGAGAGAGAGAGAGACACAATGTAGCGGTGTGAAAATTAGGGAGAGCGAAGAGGCAGGAGGGAGAAAGAAAAGGAGGGGGATCCAGGGAGATTATTATTCAGTCTAGCATGACCGATGCCCACGCTTGTCAGCAGCTGCCTGAACTGGCTTGCAGAGAGAACCCAAGTGGGCACCAGTCAGCAGTGGGTGCCAGCCTCTCGCACATATAGACACCCTCGCACGGCATTTTCTGCTTGACAAATGAATGGTATAAAGGATAAACGAGTGCGGTTAGACCCAGCTGATGTAGTGTCAGACTTTCTGAAAGGTAAGAGCAGCCACTTGCAGCTTCCCAGTCAATTGGGCTCAGCAGACAGGGGCGCATCTGGGTTCTTTGTGGTCGGGCAAACGCACAGTTGATTCTGAGTGCTGGGCCGTGAGGGCAGGCCTATCAGGCCCAACAGCTGCTCCACCATGCTGTTTCCACTGAGCAAAGTAGCATTTTGGCCAAAGCTGTTTACTATTCACAGATTCAGAAGGCTAATCTGGCATTCAGTGGGCTCACAGGTGGCAAAGCAATCCGCTGAGACTGTTCCGGGGCAGTTTGGAGGACAAGCAAACAAAGCTGACATTTGAAGCTATCTCGGTGTTTTGTTTTGTTTTTTTCAAATTGACGGGAAAAACAACAGTTTGGCACCAATGCTTCTGTAAACCTTGCTGTTTTAGTAGCGGGATTCTCACCTCAGGCAGACAATAGCGATGACCACAACTGCAATGATGAAGACTAAGGTGGCGGTGGCTGATCCAACGATGAGCGGCAGCTGTTCCTGCAGCGACTTTGGGGGGTCAGCTTTACAAGATTAAAGAGAGAAGGTGATAAGTTAGTTAGTCAGTTGCCGCAAGCATCGACCAAACTAGCTGCAATCCAGCTCAGTACAAAAGTACAAGGTTTATTAATCTGTATGCAGAAGAATCTGCACATCCTTTATAAAGTAGAGGAAGGGTATGGCTGATACACAGACTGGCTGACCATAGGTACATTTTCATCAAATCATAAGTCCGTTACAAGAATTTCAGTTTTTTTCGTTTCTCGCATATTGGCTTCTTACACTATAAACGCTTGAAAAAATCCAACACATCTATAAGCTTTGCATTGCACTATTTGTACAGACATATCCCAGTACATCCCCGGGTAGTAACGCAGGCGGGGTGTAACGTACTTTGGAGGTTGGTGCTGAAGTCGGCTGGGCTGCTGTAGCGACCGTAACCAGCGACTGTTCGAGCGCGGACCTGGACCACGTAAGGCGTACCAGCCTTAAGACCTTCAATGCGGGCGTTGCTCCGTTGGGCAGTCATGGTATGGGCAATGGCCTCACCCTGATCCTGCACATACAAATACAGGGATTAAACAACGCACCCCTGCTCCTCATTGTTCCTTCTCTAAAAGTTTTGATGTAGGTTGACAAAAAATATATAAAAAAGACAAGACCAAGAGAGAGAGAGAGAGAGAAAAGGAGTCCCATATCATAGCTGGTATGTTAATCTGACAGCAGAAGACAGCATATAGTGAGGACTGTGCTCCTTCCCCAAGGAAAACTCTAAACTTTCTGGGGTTTTAGAAACTTTTTAAGGCATGGATTGACAGAGGATGGGAGGGAAAAGAAGAAAAGGGAAGAGTACAACAGGGAAGGGATTGGAAGGATAGAAAGAGATGGAAAGAGTGGAGTAAGAAGAAAAGGAAGCCTCACGGCCAACATGTGTTTATCAGCAGAGCCATTGTTTTCCACATTTACAGAAACACAGATGATACAGAAACCATGCGAGTCACTGAAATTGGATTGAATTACAGGCGTTCTCTAACATCGGCGCTTACCTTCTCATGGTACTTAATCTCATAATCCAGAATGATTCCGTTGGGCTTCTCTGGAGGCAGCCAGGACAGGCTCATGGTGCTCGCTGTGGCCGCCATCAGGTGAACTGTGGGCACTGCAGAGGGAGCTTCACAGGGGGAAAATAAATAAAGGGAAATCCGCTTTATTTATTGTTTTTCGTGTTATGTCTTTTGAAGTTCTGTGCCCTTTGTCTGTCCACAGAAGCCCAAATACAAAGTCTTAGCTGTGAGCTTTGTGAAAAGCTTTGGCCACTAGTTAGTATGCAGAGCCATTCCCGACTAATGCTCAAATTCTCCCTCCCAGAGTCCTAGGGGAACGAGAGGTTATGTCTAATTCTCCTGTAGCAAGAGAATCAAACTTTAGAAACTGATGGATAAGGTCCATGCAGTTCCCTCTGTCATATATTAACGGCAGGCGAGCTAAGGAACAGCCGCACATACAGAGTTTTGCACGTATGTGTCTGTGCACTTGCTTCACTGCTGCTGAGCTGTTACTCCACAATCTCGTTGAAATGTTTGAGAGGAGCTGTGCTTTCCTTTTTTTTCTCGGCTGTAGAAAAAGATCTTGTTCTTTAAGTGCTGCGCATGAATATAATATACAAATACAAAAATGTGCACACACCATACAATCTAATTATTTTATGAAACATGTAATCACTGGAGTTTCCCATGCTTAGTTTACACGTGCCGCATTAACAGTAAGCCCATGCCGCTCTTTCCTTTACTCCCTCCTCCACTCGATCTACCCTTTTAACTTTACTTCATACCTTCCACTGTCTATCTCCACTATTACCTTTACTTGAATATAAATAATACACTTCCTGCTTTTTCAGTGGACTTTTCAACTCATTTGCTTGTCTTTCACTGCTACAGCCCTCCATCCACTCCCCCTTCCTCCAGAGTTTTATGACTTCTTCACAAGATGTCCTGTCTAACCAAGACAGATGTGCTGATAATCACTTCTGGTCAATAAGGAAAGTGAAGTGAAGGAAGTCAAGTGTTGCACAATAATATTATTCGATACTGTACCGCACTCATTTTAGGAAAATCCCTGGATCAGTGTTTCTCATTCCCCCATACCACACACCAGTTTTCGCTGGCTTTGTTAAAAACTTTTACATCCCATTTTTACATTCTTTCATCGTCCCCATTCCATTTCCTTTCTAACCTCGCTGCTTGTCTTGGAGACCAGACAACCTTCTGTTGCTCTGTCTTTCTTTCTGGTGTCTGCACCTCCCCTTTCCTGAGTTTTCCCCTTCCTTGTAAGTCCCATCTATTCCATTTCTCCTTGTCTCTCTTATTCCCCCAGAAGACAATGCTTCCTAGGCAGATCCCCTGGTTACTCTAGCCAAGGGATTAGGGGCCCTCCTCCAGGAGGAGACGTTGGGAGTAACCATGGAGGTGGCCCCAGGGGCTTATCACCAACCCAGTATTTATTTTGATTCTTAAAAGGTGACTGCACATGCAGGGATGGTCTTGGGACTACACAAATGGATAATCTGATCACAGATGATGCTCTCTTGCCCTTCTTTCTCTTCACTGCTCCCTCCGCACCCACCTGACCCCAAGCACCCAAGGGTGGACACTTGTCCCTGTCAGCCCAGCGCCAAACCTCCCCATGAAACAATGAGGCCCTCATGTGGGGCTGGTGGGGCCTTTGGGTTCCAGACTCACAAAAAGAAGGCATTCCTAAAGAATCTTTTAGGAGTAGGCACACAAGGTCAAAGGTGAGGAGGACAAGGCCATGGAGAGAAGGAAAAAGGGTGGGGGAGGAGGAGCCAAGGAATAATCCTTGGTGTTTACTAGGCTAGCCGAAAGAGCAAACTTAACACAGCAGCAAAGAGTTCAATTTACAAGTAAAAAGAAAAACTGGGGTGAGTAAAAGTACATCAGTGAGAATAGTGAGATTTCCTAGGTAACTGAAAAAATGATCATAATAGTCCCCCAGCTGTAGTGTCAAACATAAGGCTCAGTGGCCAAAGACTCCAATCCAAGGAGGGCGTACATTCTGGACTTTAAATGTATTTGGAGTTTTTCCTTCTGATAAAGACCGTTCATATTGCACCAAAGTAGTTAAGTAATAAACAAACCATTTAAAAAAAGAAGAGTTCTTGTTTTTTACAGTATGTCCACAAAAAATGTGAATTAATGGAAACTTTCTAAACCTTTCGGATTTTTTTCTGTGATTTAAAACATTTATTCCTTATAATTTTAGCCCAAAGAATAATGCTGAAAGCTTTCTTTCATTTACTACAGCAGCTTTTCTTTATCATGTGGAAAAACTGAGACATACTGTTGAAACTGCACTTCTTTTTCTTATATTAAGGTATCTTAGGATACTTATCCTTTTTCACTGACAGGTGGAGTGTTACTGGTCCAATGCACGATATACAATTATTCTGACGTCCCTGGTCTACAGTCTCCCTCCATTTATTGATTTATTTTCATCACTTGGCTTATCAATAGCGGGTTCTATAACACTGTATCTATATATACCAGATGGGTTTAAAAAAAATCATCTCAGCTCTGATTGCTACATTGGCCTAGTTACTGTTTTTGCTGAGAGCTGAAGGATCGGTGGGTTGGAACCAGTGGGCAGCCAGAATACTAAAGGTTCCACACTTTGAATATACACTGCCTCGCTATTGCTATTTGCAGTGGTGTTAGCACAGAGCATGCTGTGGGCGTGTGAAAAAAAGGTCGCTTTCTAAGCTCATTCAGAAGAATGTCTTCCTTCTCAATCCCTGTTCAAAGGAAAAATATGTAGCACACTCCTACATACATACAAGAAATTGATCTCTGCTTTTTAGGCGCAGAGCGTATTCTCTGACATCCTTTTGTGTCTTTTCCCAGCCTTTGAAAGTTGGCATCGCCCGAAACATCAATGCTGATCTTTGCCAGGTAGCCACAGTGCTGAAGCTGCACCTACCGGCCTGATTTGTGGTGATGTTCACGGCGGAGAACTGGGGCGTATAGGGGCTCTTGTTGGAAACGCCGTTGACCGCCTGGATCTCGAAGCTGTACTGTGTGTGGGCTTGCAGGTTCCGGACCGCCACACGCCGCTGGGTCAATCCCAGGTGGCGCGGTGAGATGTCCACGTTGTCGTCGCAGCGCGAACACATTCCCCGGTCGGGGAGGCACTTCTTACAGATGACGTTGTAGAGGACATCATCGCGGCCGCCCAGGTCACGAGGCTCGCTCCACTCCAGCACGAGCGAGGTTTCGTTGACGCTGGAGATGACGCTGCGTGGGGCAGATGGAACGGCTGCAAAAGGAAGGATGGGATGAAGAAAATAGGTCGCAATGAGAATGCATTCAATCTCCGTGCACAATGGGTGTAAAGAAATTTGTCCTGGTGACAGCACAGAGACATCAGGACAATAGACAAAAGATTCATACTGGAAAGCACAGTTTATATATCATTACACACACATGCATTCATTATTCTATAACTGCGCTGCGGTATTAGTACATTTCTTATGCATTAACTAGACCATTTTCTTTTCTTTCACTGTAACAAGAGACTGTTCCAGCAGTTCTTCATTAAAAAAAAGAAAAAAAGAGGACAGGAGTTCAAATTTGAATTGCATGCTTATTTCCACTGTGTGTCTGTGTGTACAGAGTGCTTGGGGGCAACGAGCAAGACAAACTATTGGCAGAGTCTTGGCAATTCTTATCCAATTACCGGAGCCTTATCTCTCACTGCACTGTGGGAGAATCAGCCCCACACCCCAGCAACAGAAAAAAGGATCTTCTTTCTTCACTTCTGAATAAATTCACCCCTCGGTGTCTGTTTGCTTTTAATAGAGCCAACAGTAAAAAAAAAGATAAAGCTCACAAAAAAACAAGTGGGTTTCACTTTTCGGCCGTAGTGGGGCAGAGACGTTGTGAGTGCAGGTTGGTGGGAAGGGGAGGGGTTGGATGATAAAGTTGTGGATAACGCTGGGAAAGCAAGCAGACTTGTTTGCTGTCTGTGTGGCGTGGCAGGAGCATTGTGCTAGGAGCTTTTATCAGCAGTTGATGGAAATATCCAAAGACGTTTAATCCACAATAACGTTAACTTTATGATTACAACACATTTGGCCCAGTTCTGATGGGAAAAATAGACTAGATGTAAGGTTGTCAGCATTAAAACGTACTGAGTTATACAGATGGCTGAAGGAAGCATTACTTACTAGTGCAGGTGGAGTCGGGAGAATCTGTGTCTGCGCGGTAATAACCGTTTCGACAGGAGCAAACACTGGCTGCTCCCGAGCTGGCACGGCTGTTGGCTGGGCAGGGCAAGCACAAACTGTCCCCCTGTTTGGACTTGAAGGTGCCAGGGCTGCAAGCTGATGGCAAAAGAGGGAATGATGAAGAAAGCATGACCAACAGCTTAAAAAAAAACAACAAACAAACTGATTTTACCACTATCATATTAGAAAGTGTCTTACTCTGGAATGAAAACACAAAATTTACTTTTGCCAATCCATGCCAATAGCCTGTAATTCTACTTATTTTTAGTGGCAAAAGTAGTATTTGTAGTAGTCTCGGATCAATACTAGCACAATAGGATTGATACTTTGTTTCTAATTTCAGTATGTAGCCCACTGAATTGTGTTACATAAATTATGTTTTTGGTGAAGAAAAAACTATACATCAAACATGTCGGTTTGTGTTGACTGCCATGTTCATTTTATTTATAGCCTACAGCACACTTAAACAACAGAAGCAACAGAAGTGCTTTAGAGGTAACATTGGCATCCCAGGTCTCCTAAAAACGCAGTGTCAAAAACATGAAAATTTGACTGGTGTGCTTATGTTATATTGATTAATTATTTTTGAATGTACAAATAACATTTACTTAGTGGACGATGTATTCAGAATTTGCAAAGTGAGGGAATCAGGAAATGCAAACGTGCAAACATAAATCTTTGTATACAGACAGAGACCATGTCAAAGTTTCTTTTTTTTAAAAATTGTTTTTTCTCTGTATTTCTACTGAGACTACTTCTATACAGGAAACTACTTTCAGCATAACTTTACCTAAACTGGTTCTTGAAGGCAAGTCAGTCACATGAAAACACTGCTAGGATTTGAAAATGCCATATCTCCATTTATAGCTGCTGTTTGGACGTTTATAACTCGTGTGATAAGTTACAGACGTGCAGGGAAACTGTAACGGCAACATTGTGATTCAGGACGCTTGGGTAGGCTCCATATCTTTCATAAACTGTCTTGTTAAAAGATGAATGAGTTTGCCGCCATGCCTAATAAAAAAAGAGAGGCAGGAGCAGGTAAGAGAGGCAAAGTTTACAAGGGCCAGTTGATTAGCTGACCCACTAGCGCATTAGCTCGTCAACGTCAAGGACAAACTGCAATGTTTGTCCTCTCCCCCGAATGATAATTATCGTCACAGATTCCATGTTGGATTTATGCTCCCCTTTGAAAACGACTGAGGTCAGAGGTCAAATTTACAGCAGACCACTTACTGCTCCTGCTGTTTTCCTGCTTCTGAAAGTTCAATATTAGCTCAAAACCACCAGCTGGCTGCACCGTGTACATTAGCACTGAGTATATTTGTTCTCCCACCAATTTGTCAGAGTTATCCACACTGCTGGCTAACAGGAAGTTTGGTTTGATAAACAGATAAAGAACTGACCTTGAATTTAGGTGTCAGAACAGTTTCTTTAAACAAATTTGTTCATATTTTTTCACCTAACACAGAACAAATTGCAAGCTAATTCTGAGCTCACAGGGCAAGAAAAAAATTATTTTTAACTGTTAGCAAAGATGTTGAAGAAGCATTCCCGTTAAAGGAAGCCTCTTTTTTTACACCAAAAGGTTGAAAGTGCTGATCAATCACTTCCAGCGAGTAAAGGGGTCATCCTGTTCCTTTTATCTATTTTCCCTTAGAGGAACCATTAAAGAATGAGGAAGAAAGACAGACAAGGGGGTAGAGCGAAAAGGGAGGGAGAGGTGGAAGAGGTGGAGGCATAGAAAATGCTAATCCTGTAGGACCCCCACCTCCCCTCTTCCTCACTCCCCTGTGTCTTATCCTCTCATGCAGAACATAGAGCTTAAGGAACTGATTAAAATGTATGCTGAAATTGGAAAGTCTGAGGCATGAAAAAGTAAAGAATATTGGGGGTAAAAAATGTGCAGCTAATGAGTGGGAAGGCAAAAAAGGCTCATCGATTAATATTAATACTGACATCCTTACTGTAACTCTAGTGGCTTATTAATGAGCACAACGGCCTTCAGATTAGGAAGGAATTGGAGAAGTAAAGACTGGCGCAGAGAGAAATGAAGAGCTGCAAGAGATACTGTATGCTAGGAGGACAGAAAAAGCACGGAAAAAGGGTGATGAGAAATGAGCATGGAATAATATAGAAGGAGAGGAAGGAAAAGGAGAGAGGACCTAACGAGAACAAGAAAGCGAGATTTATCCCTTGTGGTTTCTAGTGATTAGAGAGCATTTTATCAGCGGCCAGTCACCAGAGCTTCAACCTTGAGGTGCCAGAAACAAACAAATGAGTTTTTAACCACGTTCACTTTAGATATACTACACTCTCCCCTTTGTCTCGTGCAAACACTCTCCTTCTAAAGGTGAGCGCATATTCAGTATCCACCCACTCCTGGAGTGGAGTGGATACAAAATATAAGGCCTGTGCAGCGTCATTGCTTTCTTCTATTATAGGAAGAAGGACCCAGACAAGCAGGGATCACCCCCGAAGTCGAAGCCCAGCGAACACGCACGGGGCACCTTGCATTCACGTGATCAATAACCTCACCAGATCGCTCTTTCACTCTTCACACACTTTCTGCACGCCCAGGCCTAATTTTACGCCCACGTACACACAAGCACAAATTTTTCCATTTATCCTTCATTATTCTCATGCTGTCACCTGCACTCCATTTCAGTCGGGACCTTGCTGTTTAAATTTACCTTTCTCTTTCACCTCTATGAACCTGTCATGTTTTCCATCAGACCTGAAGCCATTAGCCACTCGCTTTCATAAAGAGACAACACACTGCGCATTCATTTTGCAACCAACCTCAAGGCAAAGCTGAGGTCACGGGAGTGCGTAGCCCTGCTAGTCTGTATTATTATAGCTTGTAATCACTGGATTAACATGTCAAAAGAAAACAAGATAAAATAAATTATTCATTACGATGTGTTGAGTGAACAATCCAGCATAAAACAGTGTATCCTGTAGCCAAAATAATGTCCAATTAATCTCTCTGTATGCAATCAGTGTGTTTTTTTCCACAGCAGTCAAGTCTTTGTGAAGACTAGGACCACTAGTCTAATACCATTCCATGTTCCCAAAATGTAAACGTAAACGTCTTCTCATATGATCTTTGTAAGAAGGCTCCATCCTGAAATCTGAGGACTGTAACATAAGATGAAGTAGCACACTATTCTGTTGTGGGTTTGAACCTTGAGCAACCTGTTGAAGAATGTCTAATCCACTTAATCCGCCACAACACGTCATAAACTGACCTAAATTATATATTGTGAAAACACTCACCTTGACACTGGGTGTCCTTCATGGCCGGTTCAAAACCAGCCATGCAGGTACAGGCTCCTACAGGAACCATCCACTCCCCATCTCCGTTGCAATAAAGCTTCAGCGGCACAGACACCTCCAAGGCATTGGGGACACAAGTTCCTGGGGCTATCACCAGCGATGTCGCTTCAGCCCCCGTTGCCGTTTCGGGAAATACGGCAAAGTTGGCGATTGTGGTGGAGCACTTCTTATAAAACACTCTGACTGAGATGAGCGACATGCAAGCACCGAGATCCTGGAAGGCCAAGTAGAAGCCAGCTTTGGACAGCGGGCCAAAACTTCTGACTTTCGTGTTTACCCGTCCAGACTCGAGCATGGAAAAACTCTCATCTGGGGCGATGGTGTCAACCTTCACATAAGGGTTCTCCATCCAGAAAGGGCTGGTAGCCGTAGCTGAATCCGAGTCAGACTCATAGTAGAAGAGGTTAAATGTTTCTTTGCAGGAACCAGGGATGTTGGGAATGCTGTTGCAGTCACGCACTGTGAATTTCATTTCCACATATACGCGCAGTACATCTTTTCGCGGGATGAAGTCGCTACGTAGCCAGTTATTTTGGTTGAGCTCACGTACATTGCAGACTTGATACGTCCGGATGGGGTTCATGGCATCGTCGTAGCCACTGACCTCTTCCCACTGAAAAGAAATCAGATGAAGAACATGAAAAACTAGCAGCTGTAAATGTCTGATAGATATTGAGTTGCTGCGGGGCATCTTCCATCGAACCTAGATGAGCTACATTAAATCAAGTGGCATAAAAAGCAAGTGATTAAAGTACCAGGACACAAGTCATGAGGGAGCGAGAATTGGACTTTTTCAGTTTAGCTGTATTTCTTTTACTTCCATTCCCTTGCTTTTGCCATGATGCACCTTTCATTCCTGATTAGTGTGGCGAAAAGCCAGGCACAAGGACTGCAAATTCATCACAATTACAGGAACCTGTCACCTCCTCGCCACAGAGCCACCAAAGCATGTTTACCTCATATCTGTTTGGAAGAACCAGCCACACTGCTTCACAACCAATTACGCTTCAATTACCGAGCAATGACTGCAACGTCCTCTAATAAAAGCGGGGAAAAGGCGGCAGTTAACCTTCATGCTTTTCTGTTTTTACACTCTACATCTTTCAATGCTACTACAGTACCCAGGGGGTGAATTACTCGGGATAAAATGGGATTAAATTTTCTAAACTTTGATTACCAGCTTCATTAAATGAGTGCAAGCAAACCAGACTGTAAAAGCTTTGCTGTGAGACGCGTTAATGTTATGTCTTTTTTTCTTCTTCTTCTTTTTTTCAATCTCGAATGAGGACACCGCGATTAAATCATTTCACTTCAAACAGCAATTCCTGTGTGTATAATATATCTAAGTGTGTGCGTGTGTGTTTGCGTGCGTGTGTGCGCACGCTGAGGGATCTGCTCCCCTTTCTTTTATCAGACAAACATTTGAGTCAAAGTATTTTTAGACACGTTTAAATACAACAGTAGTTAACAGTGCTATGCAAAAGACGTGCCAGTGCTTTAGAGCATTAAATGTAGAGGGAACAGGGGAGGAAAATAATACTAGAGAAGGGAATAATGGGTGGCTGTAGCTTACAAGGTAGAGCGGGTCACCTACTAATCAGAAGGTTGGTGGTTTGATTGCCGGCTGCACCAGTCTGCATACCAAAGTATCCTTGGGCAAGATCCTGAATCCTAAGTTGCTCTGATGCATTCACTGGAGTGTGAATGCGTGAGAATGTGAGACATTGAAAAAAGTGATGTATGGATGGGGCAAGTTCTATAAAGTGCTTTGAGTGACAATATATAAACGAGTCCATTTACCAATAAGTCACAGGGCAGTCAAAAGCTAACACACCACTTTGCATTTAGGTATTGATCATTATTAATCTCTGCTTCTACCAGACGTTTTTTCCTGCCAAAAGCTAGTTTTTCCTTCCTACTGTTGCCAAGTGCTTGCTCAGAATTTGTTTGATTTTGGGGGTTTTCTCTGTATTACTGTAGGGTCGTTACCTTGCAATATCCTCAAGCGCCTTGAGATGACTGCTAAAACTATACACCAAATGCATAGTGCATATTTAGCGTAACTGGTGAACTCGCTACCTGAACCTGTGACATTGCTATATGAGATATCTATAGTAAAATTAAATCTCTACAGTTATGTTCTTGGGGCTGGATTGTACCTCAAAGCATTTGCCTTCCTCAACACTCGGGTAAATAGATACCGCTTTTCCTCTTCAGAGCCAGTCGTTTCCTTCTGAGCTTGAAGCATCTTAATTAAGGCTGTGATATGGATGTGGTGGAGACAAGGCTATTCATCCAAGACCGTGGAGGCCATAAGGGACACAGGGGGAAGAATGGGTGTAGTTTGGCTGTGGCATTAAAATGATGGCCCCACAAGAGCGGGAGAGAAGGAGGAAGCGACCAGAGGGAATCGATAATCACCAGCCAGGTCAATGGAATGGCTAAAAGCATGAAGTGTCAATGGGTATTTAGTTTAGTGTAATAAATCACCCTGCGCAAAAGAGCAATGCGGCCAAGTGTTTTGTGGCTGTGCGTTTGTATAAATTTGCTCATGCGAGCTTGTCTGGCCAAGTTTGTGCTCACTCTGTGTGTTTGTTTGAGAGTATATATATATATGTATAGGTGTGGGTCTATTTGTGTATGCGTGCAGTTAGAAAGGGGTCAACCAACCCCCCGTCAGACATGCACCAGTGGGCAAACAATCTGAGAGCCTGCTTACCAAGCCTGAATGAATTAAGCATGTTGTGCAAAAAAGGGTCAAGTTTCTTGGCGTCGATTTTCAACAAGATGAATTGTTATGCAAGATTGGCGAGCCTCTCTGTTTTCTCTTTGTCCTTTCCAATCAAAGCTTTAACTTTCACCTCCAGACGGCAACGCACGGGCCTTACACATTGCACATTTTGGTGCAACAATAATTCTCAAAATCATCATTTAAAGCTGTTTTTTTTGCCAGTTTTATCATGTTTTTTCATCCTTCGACCTTGGATGAATTAAAAGAGAACATTTACTCTAAGAAACCTTCATGGCAAAATGGATAAACTATTATTATTAGCTTTAGGCATTGCCTGAAATGCTGAAAGTTCCAACAAGCTCAATGCAACCAATTAGTGTGTTTTTATTTTGTTGTTTGTTTAGCCGGTTCAATAATCCCACTAAGGCTAATTTAATACTGTTCCAGCTTGTTTATGACACGTTTTGTGCAGGGAAGGTGGTCTTGTGAAGGAGACAGTCATATACCGACAATACTTATTATCTCTGTAGGCTCGCTAACTTCATATACTGTTGTCAACGTATGCTTAGGGAAAGCCCTGTGGGTATCATTCCGGGTCTGAGGAGAGCTACTCAGCGGAATTCCCCCTTCTTCTTCGCCCATCTGGTTTGGAACATAAACGGCATGATTTATAGACAAATATTCACACGTCACACATGGAGGCATAATGAATGCTGGAAATTCAAACGCATCAACCAAACTGGTGCTGAGCTGCATGCATGCATGCCTCATACAGAGATGCTACAGGCTATAAAGACAGATGCAGACAGCCTGAGAAATGCACATACCATAGCAAACAGAGACGTGAAAGAATATAAAAGAATGTGTGTAAAACACAACAACCTAGTGTTGGAGCATGTAAAGACACTTCCTTACGATTATCAGCGCTTACAAACACAGCTTCTGTGTAGCTTTATGTTTGTAGCTTCATTTGCATGTGTTTTGCAATGTTATTTAAAAAGATGGAGACGATATGATTCGTGTTTGGCATGAATGAGAAAATGTGTAGTGTTAGATTTGCTTTTTGAGGAACTGATTTTCTTGTCTCATACACTCTTTCCTTCTTGACGCACGGACATTGCTCTGGATTTTCCTGAAACCCTGTCTCTCTCTCTCTCTCTCTTTCTCTCTCGTCCCTTTCCCCGCAGGCTGCTTTGTTTGTCCTCTTATCCACGGCATCGGTTTCTCTTAAACACTCGTCACACACAACAAAAACAGGTTGGGTCGTTCCCACCGCAAGACTGCGAGAGCAAACAAACACGTATACAATAAAAGTCTGCGTGAAGAAAGGAACAAGGCAACACGGACGATTGATTTTGCGAGAGCGAGGGACTGAGAGTGAAAGTGAGGGAGGGAGGGAAAAAATAAAAGGAGGGAAAACGCGCACACAAACACACAAAGGGTGGAAAAATAACTCAGGGACAACAAATGCTGTCTGTGGCACATTCTGCTGCACACACACACCCACCCAAAAAAAAAAGGGCCAAGGGGACAAATTCAACTCCACCCTTTTGGCAGGTAATGTGGGAAATCTGGATTGCAAAAGGGCAGCTACTGTATGTACATCTACTGAGAAGGAGCATCTGTTGCAGGATTGTTGGAACAGAAACAGAGAGGCATGTTTTTTAGGTTCCTAAACCATGTCTGCCTGGACCTCGTGGGAGCATCACCGCTGCATTGTAGCGTAACAGGATGAAGAGGTGTGTGTGTGTCTGGAGGGAAGGGGGAACAGAAATGGGACATGCCAGGCTGTGAGAGGGTTTGTCCTCCTGATTGTTTACAGCTGAGGTGGCTAGTGTGTGTCTGGCACAGTTAATGTTTAATGGCTAGGCGAAAAGGAGCATAAGGAGGGTGGGTGACTTTGAACAGCTGGGAAAGAATCCTCTGACAAGTGTGTTGTGGTAAGAGCAAAAATATACTAAAAAAAAGGGGGCCCATCGTTCAAAACACAAGGGCCAAGTCAGAGGACCACACAAAGGCAAGGGAGGAGTGCTGGCAGTCTTTGAAGTATATCCGAGGAGGGGTCGAGGCTCTTTTTGCCTCATTGTGGAGACCACATGGGAAAGCCATGTGAGGCTGTCATGGACACTTTGTGTAAGGTAGATTTGGGTGCTGAGACATTTATCAGCGTTTAAAAGGGAACTTCATGACAACACCAATGCTCTTTTTTTTTTGCATTTTTCAAGAGGAGACAAGAGGGAGTCAATCAGGTCAGTCAGGTGAATTAGATGTCAGTGCATCATTTGTTTTGCTGCCTAAAATATTTTAATTGCATCAAATGGTAAAACATACTGTAGCCTGGAGTATTGCTCATTATTAACACAACACAATGCACACTATGCCCAGTAAACTCACCCCAGTCTCAGGATGTGCAGTCCAAGCCAGTTCTGTCGTGGCCCACTTTGTGTCCATCAACGTCTCTGAAAAACGGAAGCAGAAAGAAAACAACACAATCAAACAAGGAAGAAAAAAAGAGATCAGTAGAACTTTCAGTTGTTTTACAACAATCTCATAAAACTTGCAAAATGATCCAAGGAGCAGATACGAGGCTCTGACCAAAGCTGCTTTCAGAAAACTGTGTGAATAAAGGACACACAAGCTCACAACTACGGTAACTGAATTGATTTAGACAAAGGAGTACTTTATGTGCAAGTGAGTATGTGTGGGTGTGTGTGAGTGAATGTATTATAGATGAAACACGAGACAGACAAAGGTCCCGATAGGTGATCAGTGAGGTATTGTGTGATATTTTACTGTTGCTCCTCATTAAGCTAATTAGTCCCAATTAGGTGTTTCCCTTAAACAAAGCTCTCACTGCGAAACAGTTCCGCTTCCCACAGAACACGTGACACACAGACACACACTTGATAAGATATAGACACAGTTGTAAAACTCAAGATATACAACCCAACAGAATACTTGAATGGAGAGCAGGGGCAATAAATTTCGGTGTCACAAAAGAGGAGCTCTCGAGTGGAACAGAGGTCGGTAAACTTCAATAGGATTCGTTTTGCGTCAATACTTGAAGGCACTTCAGTTTAGAGCATTCTTAGACGTATCTATATGCCACACACGGGGGATTTCACACACAAAAACATCAACAAATGGCTCGCGCAAGTTGAGGTGGACAGAGATCTCCCCTGCAAAACCGTTTTTGCTCTCCACTTTCCACTTTCTTGTTTCTGCTGGCAGAGATGGGAGCTTTGCGAGAGCGGGGAAGGAAGACTATAAATGTCGAGTCTTTTACTACCTGCCGCTCAAGGCATGATGTGCAGCCACCGTTATTATCTCAACCGCTGTGCTGTTCTACAAGATAGTGAAAGATGATGAAACGGTGCAGCCAGCGAGTGCTTGGTCATCAAATGAAGTTTGAGATTTTCCAAGTCTTTGCAGACTTCTTTTTTTTGGCTTGCTAACTAATTGTAAATAGGTCCTAGGTATAAGTACAATACTATAACTCAAGGATATTTACCACACATCAAGCAACTGCTACATTCAGGCAAACAAAAAGAACTTCAAGCCCCTGGTGAATTATATCTAACTTTGTCCAAGTGTTATGCTCTTACAACGGGGAAGTCCCACTCATTTTCACCCCTGCAGACTTTGACTGAAAAAGGTCTAAAACTGTCACCATGAGCCAAATCAAAGCCTTTATCATAAGTGATTCCTTTTGCTTAGCGGGTTTGCAATATTCTCAATGTGTTTCCAGTGTTAAAGCAGGGAACTCATGAACGTGGTGTTTGCTAAGAGCTCCCTTTGTAACCAGATGTAGCCACATGTGAGCAACTGAGGGCCTGCTTGTGTTTTCTCAGAGAATGGGCCAGCACTCACTAGCTGCAGGACTTCCTGTGACTCATACTGTGACAGTGTGTGATTTGGGACCTGTTACTGACAGCCGTGCAGGTAGGTAAGCCGGTGAGGTGAAAATTATATATGTTTGCCACCTGGTACTTATTATTACAAGTCGGCCTTGTGTTTGATGCGCTCGCTTGTCATTAGAGCTGGCCTCGCTGAAAATGACAGCACGGCAAAACGCAAAGATGAACGGGGAGGGAAGGAATGGGATGCGGGGATGACGCAGAAGGGACGTGACGTGAAAGAGAGATAGATATGCAAAGTGCAAACAGACACACCTGTCCAGCCTGACTCAGTGGTTGGGACAGCAGATGATTCGAGACCGCACACTCATCGCTGAAACCCTCCTTTCTCGCTGCATCTGCATTGTTTGATCTGGCCGGGGTTGTGTTTTGTGTGCGTGCATAACTGTGTGCTTGCAAGTCTGTGTCAGAGGACAATTGTATGTGTGTGTATTTGGTGCAAAGTCCTGCATTGTGCCCAAAGTGGAGCACCAATCCTGAGTCAATGGGCCAGAGCAAAAGTGGTGAATGACCCTGACCTAACCCGGCCGCTCCCTCTCTGTCAGTGTATGTGTGTCAGGATGTGTGTGTGTGTGTGTGTGTGTGTATGGGTGCCTGCCATGCTCTGTCCACTATATTGCTGTGATTTTAAATAACACACCTGGCATTACAAGCACATTGTAAGAATAAAGCCTGGACTGAAAGTCCAAGCATCTTAAAATTATCTAATACACGGACAAAAAAAATCTAATAAAGTGTGCAAAGCAGACTCGTACAGATAATAAAGGACAAGAAGGAGGCAGAAGGAACTAGATTATAGAGCGAAAGGTATTCTGTAAAGGAAACAAGCCCTGAAAGCTTAGAAGACTATAATGGCAGCACGACTTAAGGGCCCGAGTGAGACAAAAGAAAAATAAATGGAAAGAAAACCAGAAGGACAAGTCGGTTAAGAAAAAAAACAAATCTCAATTAGACTCTGAGATGATTTCTAAACACACTGAGTGCACTGGTTTGCCTTCTATGCATTTCATTTTACTCTTTCAAATCTTGTAAATTGAGATAGGGGAAAATTGAAGGGAGCAAACAAAGGAAATCAGGCAAACGAACATGCAAATTGGCTGCTGTAAATCACACACGTGGTGAGAGCGAGGCATCGATGGGTCACAAACAGAGAGGCACAAGGCTTCACTTTTCTCACACTTTCTCCTTTTTTCAATCTCTTTCTCAACCAACTCTCCCAGTTTGTTATGTTTCTTCTATTTGTCCCACTTTTCTCTCCTACTTCAACTAAAAAAAAATGTTTTTTAAAAATCTCCTTCACTTTTCTCTGCCTTCGACGCCATTATCTGCAGCCATGCTCCTGTGTTCTTGCTGCACAGTGATGAATGTGACATGCGCTGTTCAGGGGGGTGTTTTTCAACCCCCTGTTGCTCACAAAGACTTTTCAATTAGCGAGTCACTGTTTGAGTAACCTAAGGATTGCTTTAGTAAAGTGTTATTTATGGTAGAGGTCAAATGCACCGGGGATTATCATAAAAACCATGGGGGGAAAAAAACGGCTGTGACATTTGTTTTCTCTGTGTCCTCTGACTGTGTGAGAAAAATTGTAGGAATACAAACAGGCTTGGAGAGATCGCACTCTGGCAAATAAATGCACACACACACACACACACACACACACACACACACACACACACACACACACACACACACACA